TTAGACTTTTGAGCAGTGGGACACTACAGCCCTTTGGGGAATGCAGCATATTTTCCATGATATGTTCAGCTGATTCTGTAGGTCAGCGTCTGGGTGACAGAATAATAGTTTAATTTCTTGCTCTTTTTCTTCATGTGTTCTGAGCCTCATGAGAATGATGTAGTGGGATCAGTCAGTGCAAACACTGTGGTAGCATCTTCCTGCTGTGCAACATCACTGAGAAAGAGGCCCGCTTCCTTGCGTGTTCTTTTCCACCACACATTTGTACCATGACATCTCTCAAAGCAAATAATTGTTTATTCTAATATATCTATACAGGTACATATAGATGCTATATCTAATCAGAATTGTATAGTCGGAGATCTGATTGATGTGGATACCTCATCAAAAATGATATATCTTTTTCCTTACATGTTACTTTAACTTCTACTTAATCTGTCCAGTCCAAGTACTCACGGTCTCTAGTGAAACCACTGCACTCTTGGTGTTTTATGTTCTGTATTGAGTTGTGTTTAGTACCCCCAGTTTCTGTAGTTTTCTCGTACAGGGAGGGAGGATGCAAGTCCTTGTGCATACTTCATGACCAGAGCTAAACTAAGCAGCACGGAAGTACCGCGGTATGTCTGTTATCTAAACTAAGGACATGTCCACTGTGTGCCACATCTCCCTTCCGGACCACACACTGAGGCTTTCTTCCTTCAGAGGAAGCCTGATGTACATCTTGATTCCACCGTGATGGGAAATTAGGACAAAATGCACAAATGCTCCTGGGACCTCAACTTTGGGCTCAGCCTGTGAGCCTGATGTTTAGAAATCTGCTAAATGAGCAAAGCATACACAAAGGTAAGCATGGTTAAGGTTCACTGTGCCTTTCTTAGACGATATATATATATACACTGTAAAGAGCAAAGGACAGTATCAGGCCTCAGAAACTCTTCGCATCCAGAAAGTATATGAGAAAAACCTCTTTCTCTTGGGTACTTTTGCAACCTTTGTCCCTGACCTACCATGGGATGTACAAAATTGAGATAAACAATTAGGCCTATTTAATGATAGTCTGTTTTTTACTAACAAATTGATCTGATGGTTTATTCCAGCATTTTGAGCTCTCTCGCTGAATGTCTGTCAGAATTCATAATAGGGATCTTAAGACTTTCCTAATGTGGTCTTCACATGACAGAACTGAAAAAGAGTCTTTTGAAATAAAATGTTCATGTTTGCTGTTCAAAATAACTACTTTTAATAACACAGATTTATTTTTTTTCAGTACTTGTAACTCAGTTTTTCATATCCCTTCCATACTTCTGCTTGAAAACAGAGAGGGGAAAGTCACAGAATGCATGAAAGCACTTTTAATTTGCCTTAAGTATGAGAGGTAGCAGGAGGAGGAAATCAAGAAGTTGTATCTTCTGAAAGAAGATCTTCTGTATTCTGTATCTTCTGTATTTCCTTGAAATGAGAAAAAAGTCACGTGACAGTTGCACTGTAAAAAACAATTAAGGAAAGTCTCCCCCTATTACAGAAAAAGCCAGTCCTTTCCAATGACAAATCTGTTAAAAGTTTTAATTTCTAGGTAAGCTAACTGCTTTCTAATTTAGAAAATGGAAGAAAACAGAAGGTAAGGCATATGTTGTGCTAAGAGAAATTTTGAAATTGAAGGTGTGATGCCACTCAGGCACTGACAGCTGCAGTGGTCACAGACAAAAGCGTCTGCCCAAATACTAAAATCATACAATTAAATTTCTGTTGTGGTATGGAACAGCACCGGTTTAAAAGTATTCAATGCTTTGGAAGATATTTTGACTTTTTTACAAATTATACTTCTCATCACTAACTGCTTCAAATCATAAAGCAATTCTTCTACATTCTATGTCTATTAAAAATTATATGTTCCATATGAATGTTAAACATTGTCCACACTATTAACCTGATATTAACAATAACGAAGAACTTAAGACATTTAAAAACACAAAGGAGTCCACCTAATCTAATAGGTTTGACCCATTAGACTCAACTCAGTCTCAGTACTTTTTTTTTTTTTAAACTACAGCCCACTATTTATTTCATCTCTGGAAAGTGATCAACCCATGCTCTGAATTCTTTGCTTCAGTAACTCTAACAACTTATCCACATTTAATCCTCCCCTTAAATAGTTCTGCTTATATTCCTTTTTATTTTTCAAATTGTTAGAATAACTGTTTTCTGTTCCATTTGCTATGAAACTAAAATCCTCTGTTTGGACTTTTTAGTTCTGCTGGGCAATAAATTGATAGTTTTAGTGGGATATATTTTGAACCTCACTACATTCATAAAATCTTTCTGAATTTGCTGGTTAGTGAGTGCATCTGCTCCATTGATATTTCTATCCTGATTCTCCATATTGTTCTTGAACAGTTTTCTGGATGATCTTTTCAATCAGAGTGCAGTCTTGAGATTTTATTTTCCCAAGAAGAATTATGTAACGTTTATACTGAGTCATATTTGCCATCTGCTGATCCAACCACATAAACAAACTAAATTCTTAAAAAATTTGAGTTTTCCTTAGTATCTACTTCTAATCTAATTCTTCACAAATGTGCAGGGTTGGCCCATGCCTTATGATTAGCTCTTCACAGATATACTGCTGGCATCTCTTCAGTAGCTCTCAGCAAACGTGAAGAAGTCTATCCATGCAGAGTATACTGTAGGATACATGTGAGATGTAAAAACGTATTTATCAGGTACTCATAAGATTGCATACAAAACCAAATGCTGACAGACACAAAGGGAAATTAGAGCTACCCCAACAAAGGACATCAAGAAACTTCAAAATGGCATAAAGAAGGGGTATTCTTAGTTTATGGCTGTGCTTTTGGAACTAGGTTACTAACCCAAGTGACTGATCACAAGATATAGAACTTCTAATTCCAGCTTTAAATCAGTGTTTTCTACTGTGACTTAGTTATGACTAAGGACTTAAACTGTCCCAATTCCAACTAAGGACTTAAATCCCAGTTCACGTGTTTATAGAGTAATTTATTCCAAAACAAACTTTAATGAAACACTTGTGATCGCAGTATCAGACCATAAAAATCAGACCAGTCATCAATGTCTCAAGCAGAAAGACCATAGTTATAGAATCGCTACACCTAATAATTTTATATCAATGCTCAATTACACGTCCTGGTGACCATATCAGAGAAGACATCATTTCACACTCCGAAAATGCCAAACTATGTAAAATATGTTTTCTGACTAGAAAACAGATTTTGTTTTGTTGTTGCGGACAGCTACATTGGAACAATAGGTCTCGATGATAATGTTTTCTTTGGTGAGAGAAAATCTGATCACGAAAAGAAATTTCAATTAATGTTTAAGAGGTTAAAATTATTCAATTAGCTAAAAATATATGAAAGAATATCTGTGTAAAAACCGCTGCCGTCAAGGACTAATAGCAACAATTTCTGAAATCAACAATGATCTTTCCATTAACTTGAAATTTACTATAGGTCTGAAGAAATTAACAGCGTCTCCCTGGAAGGAGAACATTAAAATCCTACCTACCGCAATGTTATTTTGTCATTGCTGTGCTTCAAACTAAAGGTCCTCCTGCTACAGTCACAGGGTCAGGACCTGATTCACTACCTCACGTTGCGACAACAGTTAATGGGAGCGTGCCGTGGATCTCAGTGGAGGATCGCTAAGGGGCCTTGACTTACGCGCCTGTTGTACCTATGGTCCTACACAAATGCTTTACTGGAACCACACAGGAACACAGGACTGTTATTTGCCTTTCCCTCTAGCCACAGTGCCAAATGGTGCACTAAAGAAGGATGTGCTAATGATTTGGCCAAGACAGAGAATTTTCAGCACAGTTTATAAGAACCCCAAAGTTATGCAGAATAATTAATCTTCGTGCCAGAAAACAATCATACAACTGAAAGGGTTACATGTTCGCAAGCCACGACAGACCCCCTAGTACCGGAACAGGAGATGACTGGACCTAACTGACACCAAAACCACCTGGTTATATTTCCCTTCCTTCAAAACATCGAAAAGCCACGATCCTGCAGCCCGACCCGTGTAAGCAGACCCATCTGTCGGATTCGGTGAGCCAACAAGTCAGTTTTGTTCGTGACCTCGGCAGAGCCCGGGTTTTCCTTGCTGTCCCCACCGGTTAGCAGGCTCAGGATCTGTGCTGGAGCGCCCACCCATGCTCCCGGATGGGGTTAAATCCCTGTTCCGGCGATTTCCCCACATCTACACGCATAATGTCACGCTCCCCCCCCAGGATTTCTACTAATTCGCCTCAGGAGCTCGCTCTGCGCCTACCCGCGGGGTACCCTAACGGACCTGCCCTCCACTCCCG